AAAATGACAATGCGTCTTTTTATAATTAACCAATTGAAATTTTATAATTTACAATATGAGAAATAATTATTATTATCATTATTATTATTAAAGAAAATTCCCCCCCCCCCTCATCCTGTTTTTATGAAATTTTAAAAATGACGTGGAAGAAAATAACAAAAACGAAAAAAATGAAATTAAGGGTTTAATAATAAATAATAAATATTATTAAATATGAAAAGTTTAATCAGGTTTACACACGCCCAATGTTGCCAAATCGTGAAAAAAAAATTATTTACACGTTTTACGTATTATTATTTTATAATTAGAAAATTTTTTTTTTATTTACTCTATGATTTTATTCGAAATATAACGAACGTTTTGTTTTGTTTTTTATTTAAATAATTTTTTTTTACGAATATTTAATTTGGAAAAAATTTTTTACATTTTTAATAAAAATCCGATTGCAATTAATAATAATAATAATAATAATTTAAATTTGTTAATATTAATAAATTCATCGAGTAATATTAATAATAATAATAATAATTGAGTTTCTATTTATTTTTTTTATTCTTTAACTTAGATTAATTAAAAAAAAAACCGTTGAATAATTTTTTAATAAATTTAATTGGTTCGAGTATTCAATATTTGAGATGAACAGACAAAAAAAAAAAGATTCTGGAAAATTCTTCGAAGGACGACAACATAGAGATGAAAAAAAAAAAAAAAATTAATGAAAAATTAGACGCGGGTAATGAAGGTGTTTTTTAACAAAAATATCCTCAGGGAATAAAAAAAAAAAAACCGGGAATAAAATACGACGACGACGACGACGACAAAAAAGAAATCAAAAAATTATTTTTTTTGTAAAGAAAACTACGCCCTGTTAAATAATAATTACGAAACATCAATTAAAAAAAAATATATGTACTTATTTATTACGTGTAATTTTATTATTATTATTATTTTTATTATTACTATTACATTTATATCGTTTAATAATATTACGTAATAAAAAAAAAACGTTTCTCAATAAAAAAAAAAAAAGAAATTTACAACGAGTGTATCGATTAACGCAATCAATTTTTCTTGTTATTATTATTATTATTGTTATATTGATATTAAATAATAACAATAATAATATTCCGATAAATTCATTAATTTATCATTCATTGATTTCAATTATTGATTATCGTTTATTGATCAATAATAAATAAAAGAATTACTAAAAAAAAAAAAAAAAAGGAGAAAATTGTCCGAAATCGTTATTTTCATTTTATTGCACGTTCGAAAATTTTGTCGCCATAAAAAAAAAAAAAAATTATTTTAAACATTTTTTGTTTTGTCGCACTTTTGTCAAAAAAAATAAATAAATTCAAGGTTTAAGGTATTTTTGTTTTTCTTTTTTTCTTCGACAATTTTTCGTTCGAGTGATTAAATAAATAAATAAATAAATAAATAAAACTTTCCAACCTTTGATTTTATTCACTCACTAAATCACATCGAATTATTTTCAATGAGATCGATAATAATAATAATAATAATAATGATAATAATAATGATAAGTATTTTCGTATTAATAAGAAAAATAATAATAATAATTAAAAGAGTCATGCAAATAAGGTAATCAAATAGTTTAGATAATTAAATGCAAACATAAAAAAACGTAAACGATTCATTCATATAATGCCAGTAAATTAAATATGGTGGCGGTCGTTGTTACATTATTAATAAAATCAATCACGTGATCGATTATTTTGCCAAAAAAACCTTCTCGGTACAACAAGTATAAGCGACCTTATAAAAAAATTCGTTACGGTAGTTTTATTACGAAATAATAATTATAGTTAAAGAAGGCGGAGGATTGATTAGATGATGATGATGATAATTTTAAATATTACTAAAGGTTAATGACACGTTTTTTTTTCTTTTCCCCCCGACACGTTAAAAAATTTAATTGTAATTTTTCTACACCCATAACCGTCGCAATAAATTAATTCTTAACGTTTTAAATAAATAATTTATTTATTCGACTTCGCACTCCGAATAAAAAAAATTTTTTTTTTTTAAATTTAAAATTAAAAATGGCGCTGAGGTATTTTTATTTTTTATTTTTAATAATTAAAAATTAATTCCGGCTACGGAATGATGATAATTATTATTTTTTATTATTATAAATTCCAGTATGCCGGTTTTATCATTTAAACTACTACCACTGCCACTCTCTCTCCTCTCATCTTTAAATCCGCCTCTTTCATCCAGTAAATAATAAAATGCGGTCGGTACGCCGACGACGACAAAAAAAAAACAAATTAAAATTTTTTTTAATGAGACATTTTATTCCTTCTTCCCCACCACCACCCTCACCCTCTCTCTCTTTCTTTCATAATATAAAAATATCATAATGCGAATTTTTTTTTTTTTTACGTTGTTATCGTATCAATTTAGATATGACAGTACAATGACCTTTGAACGGAAAATGTCACGGCGTGTAAAAGAAAAAAAATGGCAGATAAGGTTTTGTTAAACGAAACCTTTTTTTTTCCTTTTTATTTTCCAGAGAAAAAAAAATTCGTCATCGTCATCGTCATTACTGTCGTTATTATTATTATTATTACGATCATTCCAGGAATGATTTTATATGTTAATTTAAATGAAGAGAGAGAGAGGAGAGAGACTCTTTGATTCCACGTTAATAACATCGTAAATCGGGTTTCCCCCCGTATACCTGTTTCTTTAACATCATTATCATCATTATCATCATCATTTTATCACTGAATCAACTCGTGTTCAAGTGCAAAGTTCGATTTTAATGATCATTATTATTATTATTATTATTATTATTATTAATTTTTCGATGGGTCGATTAATTTTTTTAAAGGTTTTTTTTTACACATTTAAATTTTTACAACATCGAATCAACAAAATTTTTTTTTTTTTAAATCATTTACGTCAATCATTTTTTTTTTTTTTCGAAACTTTTTCCAGTTTTAATAATAATAATAATAATAATAATAATAAGATAATGATAATAGTAAAGTTTATACGTATTAAAAAAACATTTTAAAAAAATAAAAATAAATAATTTATTGTTTTGTTTTTATGCCAAGATACTAGTTAGTTAATAATGAAACTTTTCCTTTTTTTCTCTTCTGCTTCTTAATGCTGTATTTATGTTAAAACTTTTTTCCTTACGCTCCCCCCCGGTCCCTCACCTCTTCCTTCTCCTTCTCTTTTTTTTCGAGCCGATGATAGTAAGAAGATTTTTTTTTTGTAAGAATTTATGAAAAGGTATGAAAGAAGGAAAGAAAGAAAGAAAAAAAGGATTAAAAAAAAGGGGGGGGAATTAAAAACTCTGACGGGTTTTCAGTCCAAAAACAAAAAAAAAGTTTTTTTTTAAAAACATTATTATTATTATTTCGGGTGATAAAATAAAAAAAAAACCCGTCAAATTGACGTTTAAAAGGATCCCGTATAGTCGGCGCCATTTTTTCTTTTTTAAATCGACTTTACCTTACAAAAAAATTACGTTGACAATTAAAAAAAAATTTCCCAGATTTTTACGTCGTTGAATAATAAAAAGGAAACAAAGGAAAGTTAAAAAAAAATTTTTTCCTTTGACTCAAACGCCGGTAATAATTTGATTAATTTAAAAAAAAAAAAAAACAAAAACCTTTGATATAATAAAAAAAAAATTAAACGCGTTAATTTAACCAAAAAAAAAAAATTGTCTCGCGTTGTTTAATTTTTTTTTCACGGCAACAAACAACAACAACAAACAAACAAACAAACAAATGAAATAATAATAATAATAATAGATCTCAAAGTAAAATTTAATCAGGGGGAAAAAAAATTGTGTTAAAAACAAAAAAAAATATCGAATAATTAAATTTTTTTTTCTAATTAAAAGTTTTCATTTACCTTTGAGTCAATTTACGATTAACATATTTTATTATTATTATTATTATTACACCTAAAAGGAATTTTAAGAAGGTATTTGTTAAAAACATTTATTTTATTTCGTCCGATCAAAGGAAAACAATTTTTTTTTTTTTTTCTAAAGTGATGAAATTTTCCTTTGGCACATTTTACGTTTTTTTTAAACCCGACGTTGTTTTCCCTCTCTTTTTGTTTTTCCTTTGTATGTTTACTACCTGCGACTATATTAATTTTAACTTCATCATTTTTTTTCCCTTTTTCCTCTTTAGAAAAAGTTAATAATAATTTTTCCAGCAAAAAAAAAAGGATAAATTCAAAGTCCAACGACGACGAGCAAGAAGGAGCAATTAATAAAAATTAAATAAAACCTTGAATCGTAATTAAAGATTCGCGATTTTCCTTTTTTTCCTTTTTCTTCAATTTTCTTCTAAATTTATAAAATACCTTTGAATTTTTTTTAATATATATATTAATTAAATTATTTAGTTAAAGGTCGTTTCGAAAAAAAAAAATTATTGATGTTTTGATTTGTGTTTTTTCGTTCTTTTTTAAATACTACCAATTTAAATAGAAGAATTATTATTATTATTATTATTATTATTATTATTATTATTATTATTATTATTATTATTATTTTCGTCTGCTTCGAGTATATTTATCATTTTTAATTGATTTATTACAAAACGATTTTTTTTTTTTTTAAATATCATCGTAATATTTTGTTGTTGTTGTTGTTGTACGAGGACTACGGTACTGACAGACAAACAAAATTAATAAGTTTCGCATGATTATCATTATCATTATCATTATTAATAATAATAAATGATTTTTTTTTTTTTTTAATTTTGTTTTGACTTTAGGTCAAAGTTCGGCAGAAGTGACAGATGACTTCGGTTACAAGGGAAATAATGGTAAGATGATATTTAAAAAAAAAAAAATTCATTTTTTTTCTTCTTCTGACGTAAATACATGGGAGGGGAAAATTTTTTTTTTTTTTTTTTTCAGGGCCCTCGCATTGGGCGAATAGTTTTGTGTATTGCGCTGGAGAATTACAATCCCCCATAGACATAAAAAAAAATATGGTGAAACCTATAAGATTTCCACCGTTAAAATTCAAAGGTTTTCATTCGGTGCCAACATTGATGAAATTATTAAATAACGGTCACACGGGTGAGTTCGTACGACATTTTGTTTTTTTTTTTTTTAAAATAAATTCGTCGTAATTTTTTTTTCCCTTACTATTTGTGTGTTTAAAAAAATTTAAATTGTAAAAAAAATACAATTAAAACAATTTAAAAAAGGTGTAAATTAACTTTTTTTTTTTTTAAACTTTAATTAGTTCATAAGACGTGAACATTTAACTAAAAAAAAGTTAATTTATTTATATTTATGAGCGTTTGTTTGTTTGTTTGTTTAAGTTAAAAACTTTTTTGTAGTTTTTTAATTGTCTTTTCAAAAAAAAAAAAAAAAATATTGTTTTACAGTACAGTTGGAATTAAATTCATCGAATCGATTACCGACCGTATCAGGTGGTCCTTTATCCGGTTCTTACGCATTTTCTCAATTACATTTTCATTGGGGGGATAATGATTTAATCGGTTCAGAAGATTTAATTAACAACAGATCGTTTCCGATGGAACTTCACATGGTTTTTTATAAAGAAGAATATGGTAGTAAAGATAATGCAACGAATCACAATGATGGTTTATCCGTTT